CATGTCAGGGAGACGCTGTGTGTTTCTAGGCGAAAGCAAAAGCACTTTATTTGGCCTTCCGAAAGTAGATGCATTTAGGAATCTTTAAGATTACTTACAACAGAACAGCAATGCATTTTATGGACGACCGTTTCGTGAACCTAGGAGAGGAGGTAATTCTGACTTTGCTATGACAATCTGGAGCTTCTGAATCAGCTACTGTTTTGTTATTAGTTGAAGTATTTGCTATTGACTGTTCAAATGCGGAGTTTTGCGCATCGTATGTGCGTGTGCGCATGTATGTGTGTGTGAGAGAGTGAGAGCACGCGAGAGAGAGCGAGAGAGAGACAGGGTCACATCAAAGTGGAGTCAGCTGTCTTAACCGTGGTAGAAAACGAAGCGTTTGAGAGAGGCGGGGCATAGAGGACCTACAATTATGTACAGTATTTGAAAAAGAATGTATTTTTTGAACATTAAAGCATGTCAACATATTCTGTTACACCAAATAATGATCTTTAAAAAAGCATCATATGACCCCTTTAATAATTCTTCTTCCTATAATATATAATAATTCCTCCTCTTAGACTAACTTGAAATTCAAGAAATGATTGTGAATGACATTACCTCCACTAATATGAAAATGCTGTGATGACCTGTTTGAACGTCTGCTATTCTTTTACTTGTAACACAGATAAATTCATGTACATGACGACGGCGGTGGACCTGGTGATCACGGAGGTGGAAGAGCCTGTGCGGTTCCTGCTGGAGACACGGGTTCGAGTGTGCTCACCCAATGATAGATGGTGAGCGCATTGAAAACAAGTGGAAATGAAGGCTCAGGGTTTGAAACAGAAAAAGTTAGGGATTTTTGTTAATTTTCCTGACCGACAACCGACGCTTGTTAAACGATAATTAACCATTAACCGACAAAATTAGAATGTTAAGTTAGGTTTAAATTAAATTAGAACTTAATTTACAGAGCAGCGCTTCTGTGTAGGGAGAAAAACAGAATAAAACATCATAAAAGGAACAAAATAAATAGTCCTAAACTAAATATATTTCACTTAATTAACGAACATATTAACAAAAACAAATAAAAAACTGCGCAACAATCTACACCGAGTTCCGTTTAGTTTTTGTGACCACTTCCCAAGTTCAAGCAAACCGAGAAGGCTGAAAGCGCACCCTAATTTTTTTCTTTATTTTACAAAAGCACAATGTTTTGTTTTTATTATGAGTATACACAAATAAAAGTGAACCCTTTATAGTTTAATACTGTCTTATTCTTATCTATATGACCAATAATGTGACCATGAACCACAAAACCATAAGTAGCCAAAAATGACAAAAATCATTAGGATATTAAAGGGGTCTTATGATGTTGCTAAAAAGAACATTATTTTGTGAATTTGGTATAATGAAATGTGTTTATGCAGTTTAAGGTTAAAAAAACACATAATTTTCCACAAAAAAATTACTTTTTATTATGACTTTTATTGGTAACTTGAATGTAAAACATGTCATGAATTTGTTGTATTCCCATTTGTAATGAATTTTTCTAGGCTAACCCGATCTCATGAAAGTGCGTATTTCTATTTGGTGTGATATTTATACACACCGAAATTGACTTTGGTGTGCATATAATAGGCTATGCAATAGGTTGGATTAGGGGTGTGGGGTAGGTGCGTATTTTATGTACGTGAAAACTGCGTATTATATGCACTAGGGCTGTGACGGTCGCCGTGACAACTGCCAGAGGTTGTCTACTGCCACCGTGACGTCACGCACTTTATAATAAGCATTATACGAAGTTTTGTATACAAGTGTAATAATAGTAATAACAGTAGCGGAACAGTGAACCTTGTCTACACCGGACACGACACCACCACGTCGCAACATGTTGAGTCTGTCTAGTGTCTACACAGGACATTTGAACTCTGTGTCAGTACCTCATAAATAGAACGAGGCAGTTTACTGTCAGGGATTTGTCATGTCGTGTCGTGCCGCATCCAGTGTTGCATCACTGATTATGAGTTTTATAGTATTTTGTCGCGCCTTATTAGTAACTTTCTTATTTAGGCTACTTTCTTGTTTAACAGTTTTATTTCTTTGATATTTATTTTAGTGTTTTACAGGCTGCGTATTCACTGACTGAAGTGCTAAAATAAACACGAGCTGACGAGTTAAATCAGGTGTGTTAGATGAGTGAGACTGTGCTGGGCTGCTCCTCCTGGACAGTTTTGAAAACCATTTCAGAGACATGTTCTTAAATGTGACTCATATAAAATATATTACATGCATGCACAGTTTTAAGGCAGCTTTAATTGCCTTTTTGGTAACTTCATGACTTAACTGACCACGGCATTGCATGCACGTAGTTTATTTCGCGCTTTGATATGAAAGGATACAAGTCAAGTCAAGTCACCTTTATTTATATAGTGCTTTTAACAATACAGATTGTGTCAAAGCAACTGAACAGCATTAATTAGGAAAATAGTGTCAATAATGCAAAGTGACAATAGTAAACACTAATTTTTCAGTTAAAGACAGTTCATCATTGAATTCAGTGATGTCAACATCCAGCTCAGTTTAAATAATATCTTTGCAATTATGTCAACGATATCGCCGGAAATGAAGTACATATTACAGGCTACAGCGCGCCGGCGCCTTTGTGCGTGCAATTGAAGAGCACGCGCTTCGAGCACAGTACCGTTTCCGCGCTCGCTTGACTCGCGCCTGGCACCGATTGTGGATATTTATATCAACGGTAGTTGGTCCATTACCACCGCGGTGGTAAAAATCTGCCACTAATCACAGGTAAAAATCACAGCCCTAATATGCACGCCAAACGCGTGTGTATATGCACGGCAAAGCCAATTTCTGTGAATAAATTGTACGCCAAATAGAAAATCGTGCTACTGATACTCATTTTCGTGAGATCGGGCTACTAACGTAGGAACAGTGAGAGAGCGGTTTGAACGAACGCAAATCGATTGTAAAAGCACCAATTTGTTTTGATGTGTTTACAGTTCAAAAGAACAGCATTTAGTTGAAATAGAAATCTTTTGTAACATTACAAATGTCTTTGCTGTCTCTTTTGATTAGTTTAATGCATCCTTATTTGCTCTCATTTATAGTGTTAATTTTAGACCCTGACAAGCGACAGGTGTAAATTTATGCAGCTTTTAACAGGAAAAAATTGACTTTGAGCCACAATTCTGTTGTTAACAAGCCGTGGGTTGGATGCAAAGCTTGTGCAGATTCCTGTAGAGATTAATTATTTTACATTAGCATATGCACAATTAGATTAGAGGTTGTCTTGTTTCTTCCTGACACTGTTCAACTGCTGCTGTATGCCTTTCTATACAGGGAAGCGCTAAAAACATGCTGAAAATCAAGAGCTTCCCATCCCACACATTCTTTTTTTTTTCTATCTCCCACCAAAAATATCTCCACACACACACACCATTTCTAATTTAAGAACTCATTCATGGGAGGGAAATGAGAGAGATATTTTAATGTGGAGCACTAGTAGAGAGACTGGGGAATGGGGAAATGGTCAAATTCAGATAAGGGTCTTATTAAGATTATTTCCCGCTCCTATTACTCTTATTGTTGTTAATCAAAACCTCGAGATGAATTCAATTAAAAGTCCCAGGAAATTAATCACAGGCTTGCGACTGTCTCTGCACCCTGAAGAACACAGCTGTGTCTTTGTGTGTGAGTTGTGCTCACATCTGCATCTAGTCCCTAGTTTTCCTCCTCTTTAAACCCTTGACTTTCCTTGTTCGGAAGCTGAGATTTACAGTTAGTCTGTTCTTACATTAAGTGACTTAATGTGCTGTGTATTAAAGACCCTTGATTTAAAGACACGTCTTTTTTCAAACCACTTAACTTATAAGCTCTAGTTTTTGTTCATATTTTGGTAGATCCTTTGGCTCTGTAAGCATACTTCATAATTGAGTTCATGCTGAGTAATTAACACATTTGAACATCCTCTCTGCAGAACCGCTGCGATTCCTCCTTTTTTTTTTTTTTTGCAAAATGGACAATAAATATGAAAACTACTGGCAGTGTAAATCAAATGTGTGGTTGCTAAAGTGTTTTTATAGCACATTTCTAGGGTGTTCTGGGTGGTTTCTTGTTGTCCTAAGTCAAAAGAAGATGATAATGTAATCCAGAGACTTACAAATTGGGCCAAAAAGTGATAGAGAGAAGAGACATTTGAGAAGAGAATAAGATGTACCGTGTATTTTTGGGCTGTCAAAGTTAAAATGCTTGTATTATATTTTACTTTATATATATATATATATATATATATTTATACACAGTGGTGTGAAAAAGTGTTGGCCCCCCTCCTGATTTCTTATTTTTTTGCATGTTTGTCACACTTTAATGTTTCAGATCATCAAACAAATTTAAATATTAGTCAAATATAACACAAGTAAACACAACATGCAGTTTTTAAATGAAGGTTTTTTATTATTAAGGGAAAACAAAATCCAAAACTACATGGCCCTGTGTGAAGAAGTGTTTGCCCCCCTGTTAAAACTGTGGTTTATCACACCTGAGTTCAATTTCTCTAGCCACACCCAGGCCTGATTACTGCCACACCTGTTCGCAATCAAGAAATCTCTTAAATAGGACCTGCCTGACAAAGTGAAGTAGACCAAAAGATCCTCAAAAGCTAGACATCATGCCGAGATCCAAAGAAATTCAGAAACAAATGAGAAAGAAAGTAATTGAGATCTATCAGTCTTAATTAAGCTTGTAATTCAAGCTTTGGGACTCCAGCGAACCACAGTGAGAGCCATTATTCACAAATGGCAAAAGGCATGATGTCTAGCTTTTGAGGATCTTTTGGTCTACTTCACTTTGTCAGGCAGGTCCTATTTAAGAGATTTCTTGATTGCGAACAGGTGTGGCAGTAATCAGGCCTGGGTGTGGCTAGAGCAATTGAACTCAGGTGTAATAAACCACAGTTTTAACAGGGGGGCAAACACTTCTTCACACAGGGCCATGTAGTTTTGGATTTTGTTTTCCCTTAATAATAAAAACCTTCATTTAAAAACTGCATGTTGTGTTCACTTGTGTTATCTTTTACTAATATTTAAATTTGTTTGATGATCTGAAACATTAAAGTGTGACAAACATGCAAAAAAATAAGGAATCTGGAAGGGGGCCAACACTTTTTGACACCACTGTGTGTATATATATATATATATATATATATATATATATATATATATAACAAAATCACTGTATTTTTGATGAATAGGTCAAATGAGTGACTCACTGGCTTGTTGTTTGATGTTAGCGCTTCCTGGTTCAAGAACATTGGGTTTAAGGGGCTGGTGCAGATTACATTAATAAACACATTTGCTGTTTCCTACAACAAAAACAGACTCTACAGACTTTGTATTTGCAAAGCACATGTCTCACGCTTATGACAGTATGATGTCATGTCTTAAAAATCAATGTGTTGCACTGAACAAACTTATTCTTATTGGAGGAAACAGTTTGCAGTAATAATCCCAATTGTGTTTGTCAGTTTTGAGTGATTGGCAAGATAATATCAGTGGTAAAAATCCCTGAGGGAAACGGTTTGTGCATATTACAACACAGTGGAATTATGCACTTTCCTTTTAATCAGGAAGGAAAATGGGCACCAGTGACATTTAAGACATTCCATAAACAAATACAAATAAATGCTGGTAAACATGCCGACCGCATTCAGAGATTAAGCCTCTAGCAGGTTAAGATTGTCTTATATAAGCCTCTCCTTTAGTAAAAGGTCCTATGGAATAAATTACACACCAGAAGGTCACTTTTGTCTGTGTGTCAGGCAGAGTATCACTAATGCCATACAGTGTATATAGTCTCGAGGAAGTCTTGGGGAAGCCTGTCAGGCTTGCCCATACTATGAAAGTCAGTAGCAGGATTATTGTATTAAACTAAAACTGAAAGTATAATACAAACATGTTAAATAAAATAAGATCAAATAAAATAAAAAATTAATATAAAATAAAATTTATGAAATTTTTTTTTCAACATTTTGTCCATTTCTAATTTTAATTTACTTTAACTTGATGTACTAAAATAAATAAAAAAATAAAAACTGTAGTGGACCCCAGTATCTATATTGTACAAAAACATTTGAGAAATTCTTCAAAACATCATCTTTTGTCTTCTGCAGAATTTTAAAATTGAGTTTTTTTTTATTTATTTATTAATTTTTTTATAGATAACAATTAATTCTGTTCACAGGTCTAGAGGTTTTTTTGTCTTTAAGTTATATTTATGGGCTTTTTTTAATGCCTTTAATGCGATAGGACAGTAGAGCGGTGACAGGAAAGCATTGGGAGGAGACAGGGGAACGGGATCGGCAAAGGACCACGTGAGCACAGTTGCGCTATATGTTGGCACCAAGCGGCAACCTTCCGGTCTCTCTTGTGAAACCAACACGGAAGTGACTGCTTTTGTTGTTGCTCTTTTTTTTTGTTTTCTGAAGCAACTCGGAGCATGTTTCATACTCGTTATCCTGGTAAATGCACATTTCAATATAATCAGCCTACACTACCAGTCAAAGGTTTTTGAACTGCAAGATTTTTAATGTTTCTTAAAGAATTATCTTCTGCTCACCAAGCCTGCATTTATTTGATCCAAAATGCACCAAAAGCAGTAACATTTTGAAATATTTGTACTATTTAAAATAAAATAAAAAACTGCTTTCTATTTGAATATATTTAAAAATGTAATGTATTCATGTGATCAAAGCTAAATTTTCAGCATCATTACTCCA